ACAGTATTCACATTTAAGGGGGGTACAGGGGGTTGGGAAGGGGGGAGTTAATAGGTTACCACAAGCCAGGCTCAGGAAATTTGCAGGATACACTGATTGGTCCACAATAGCTCCTCTCCCCAGCTAGCAGCCAAGCCTCTCCAGTCCTATACCTCTCAGCCTTATGTACCCTTAACCTTGGCCTCTATGGACCAGAAAGCCAGCCCACTGCTTGGCCTCACTTTGCCACTGTTTCTTCTGTCTCTGGTGCTATTCTTCTGTCTTGGGGTCTCCTACTTCAGACTCAGGTCTCTAGCACCTCTGGTCTTACCTGTCATTCCAAACAACCCCAGAGGTCATGGGATTTATTTCCATGCTCTTTCAAACATAGCTCATCCCTACCATTGGGGTAAGCAGAGAGATGGTAACTGAAACTGCCCAGTCCCCTCTATTTTGTGCATACTTTGTTTGCATTATCCCACCCAAATGTTTTGTGGGAGTGAGATACATAGAAGGAAATTCACTCCACAAGGAGATTAGAAAAATATTTCTGTTTACGTGCATTTTAATGAATGCCCTACCCCAACTTAAGCTTTCTTTGCAGGTGAGGGTGGTGGTAGCAGGTTGCATATTAAAACCTCTAAAGAGCAAATATGGCTTGAGTTTTTTTTTGTTTGCTTTGGTTATGAAGTTTTTAATCCCCTGAGAGATGTCTTAAAATATTCTGAATGGAAGTGGCAGTTATTAATTACTGAAAATTATTTTCAGCTTTGCTGTCAGCTGAGAGTCTCCACATGGCAGGGCAATCTGATATTTAGCTATATAAAATCTAGCTTTGAGCAGTATAAGATTACTCAACCAATTTACTGAGAACATGGAAAAACTTGTACTAAGTGCCTTATTTTAGGTTGCATCGTCTTGTTTTTTGCTACCTTCCCAATACTGGATAAAGAAAAGCCTTTGTTAGACCTGTTCCTAGAAAGATTACTTAACCAGATAAATTACAAGGATAGTAGTTTTCATTGAGTTTTTTTTAAAAGCCCCAAATTTTCATATTTGAATTGAAACCCAGTGTCTGTTGTCTTCAGTATATTTTGCAGATTCCTCTATTGTTCCATTACTGCTACCTGTAAGCAAAAATAGTAGCCATCAAGGAAACTTCAATTTGTGATGAACTCGGTTGGGAATAGAACTGTCCCCATAGGATTGTCAATGACTGTCTTGGGGGAGTCAGACAACCAGGCTGAAGCCCTTCCGAATGAGCTTAGCTTTCAGTTAGCAACTGAATGAATTAACCCAACTACCAATAATAAAAGAGTTTACAGAGCAAGATCACTAGATTTCTTGTTTCTAATTCAGTAGTTAAAAAGAAATCCAAAAATGGCATTTCTTTAGCTTAAAAGCCAAAAATACAAATCTGTTTTTAATTCACAGAATTTTCAATAATACCCTTTGCCATAGCGGTCTTTTTTTGGGAGGAGGGGGAATTGAATTTAGAATAAGTCACTTCACACACAATAGATGAGAGCACTCAGAAACTGCAAGAAAAATACCCATACAAATGTGATTTTAGATCTCCCAAATTTCCACACCTATAATTTAGGAGCCGGTTTGACAGTTTTAATCAATTACTGTGACTAAAGTAAATTCTGGAAAAATATGCAAAGATAGTAAACTATTTAAAAAGGGAGTATTTGAAGTGAAAATAAGGTCATCAAAGAAAACATTTGCAGTGTTGAAGAAATTGATGTGTACGCTCAGGCAAGATTCTGCCCTTGAAAATTAAGGGGATTTTTTTTTTTTTTTAGAATACAATTTTTTGTATTTTTTTAGAATTGGTGAGTGTGGGGAACCTGGAAGAGGCTGGAGAGTCTGTATCCTTCCGGCTGCAGATCAGAAGGTACTCTTGCCTTGGCCCCCCTCCACCTGCCTAGCCCCTGTTTAGAGACCCTCACATGCTCTCAAGATGGATAAGTCTTACTGAGATGCCTGTTCTTCAGGTCTCCTTGCTATTTTTTTAGAATACTCATTAGAACTGAAAACCAACAAATGGTAATTTATTTCATTGAGTAGTACTGCTTACTCTTCGTTTGCTGGTTCATAGTTTGCAAATGGAACTTCTATCAAATCTTGGAAAATGATAAGGATACTTGCTGTAGTCTAAAATACAGGCTGTAAATATGTTTTTGAGCAGTGTATAATATAAAATTAGAACTGTAGAACATAGGAATATATGGTGCCTTAGGTTTGGTTCTCTAGAGAAGCAAAATTGTTGCATACATATATATATATATATATATATATGAAATTTAAATAAAAAGAGCAGCCCACACATGTACCAAGTGGGCAAGTCAAGTCCGGCTGAAGTCCCTGGGCCAAATGCAAATACTTCCAACTCACTCGGCTTCTGGCTGACAAGCCATGAAGCAGGAAGATTGCAGCTGGTGTGTGAGAGGCAGATCAGTGGAACCAGTGTTATTACAGACCCCTTTTGGCTCCCCATATCTGGCAGGATCCACACTCGCAAGAAGAGTGAATTCAAAGTGTCTCTGTGGATATCAAATAGGCCATACCCTGAAGGAAACGTCACAAGCTGTGACCTGAGTGAGAAGGAACCATTGAGATGATTCTTGAATCCATAATTAATTTGACATCCCAGGAAGAACAAAGAGGGGTAGAATTAAGGGTAAATGTTTTGTTCCCAAACAGAAGTAGGAACATGAACAAAGAGACCAAGCCAAAATTCACTGCTATCAAGTCAATGGTGACTCATAGCGACTCTTAAGGCAGGATAGAACTGCCCATGCACATTTTCATGATTGTAACCTTCTGAAGTTGAAAGCCCCGTCTTTCTCCTGTGGAGTGGCTGATGGGTTTGAACAGCTGACCTTGATAAGATAGCCCAGCACGTAACCACTACACCACTAGAGCTCCTAAAGAGAAACAATAGGAACAGCATATCAAAGATCCAGACAAGAAAGAGCTTGGAACTTGATACTGTTAGATGCCATCAACTGCGACCCACAGCAACCCTATGCACAACAGAACAAAACACTATCGGGTCCTCTGCCATCCTCACAATTGTTCCTATGCTTGAACTTGATGTGGTAGACCTAAATGGATAGAACATGAGCGTGAAGAATATACTTAGTAAGGCAAAGAATAGTATCAGAATTGGAAAGAAAAAGTGGCCAAATCATGCAAAGCTTTCAGTCATAGAAAAAAATCATGTGCCCCCTCCATAATACTGAGCTATCTAGATTTTTTTAAATCATTTTATTGTCAATTGACTGAGGGTTTATTTATAAACAAAATCAGTTAAAACTATCTTCTACTCAAATCAACACAGCATATACCCATCTAGCTACCCAACTGTATGTCAAGAAAGAGCCCTGGTGGCATAGTGATTACGAGTTGGGCTGCAATCTGCAAGATCAGCAGTTTGCTACCACCAGCCCCTCCTCCGGAGAAAGATGGGGCTTTCTACTCTTGTAAAGGGTCAGTCTCGGGCAACAAATGTATAGGTTTGCTTTACACAATTGATCTATGTGTTGTGATGAATTGTATGAGCCCCAATAAATTGATTTTTTTAAAAAAAGAGTCCGTCTTGGAAACCCCCAGAGGCAGTTCTACCTTGTCCTACAGGGCACTATGAGTCGGTGTCTGTTTGATGGCATTGAGTTTGGTTTGGGTTTATATGTCAGGAGTTTCACGTCCCACAATTGTAGAAGCTAGTTTAGTGGACTAAAGCTGTTGCCTTTCCATCTGATGCTAGCTGGAACATAAAATCCACAGAGCAGCCTGTCTGGAACGGAACAGCTAGAAACTCAAGAATGAACTGAAACCCCAGACTGGAAAAGCCACTGTCCCCCATCTTGGACCTGAACACGTCTGAGCAGGGAGCTGAAGCCATAGGAGCACCCAGGGAAAGGTGGAACAGTGTATGACTAGCCAAGGTCTCATGTCAACGGGGTCAAGAAGCAATGACAACATGTAGGAGTTACAGAATGGCTGCTGCTTCACCTCTGCCCTCCAGATTTTACACATGACTCCCTCATGATCCACCCTACCCAGGAACCTAAACAACTCACTGCCATCAAGTCCATGCCTGCCCTTAGGACAGCATAGCACTAACGACCCCTGTGAGCTATTCACAGAGTAAACAAAGCCCTGTCTTACTCCTCCCGGAAACCTAAAGGGAAAGGAATCCTAAGAGGTGTAGTTTAGTCTCTCCAAGTTGATCCATTAGGAAGTCCTGCCCTCTCAGATCCTTAACTATCTCCCAGCAACTCCTATTTACTATATCCAAAGCAGAACTCACCATTCCCACTAATCCTACTTCTGAATGCCATTATTTTTACAAATAATACCACTTTCTGTCTGTGCTCAAAACTCTCTAATTCCCTAAATGCTTCCCCTTTACTTTCCCCTTTCTGTTACCATCAGTCTCGGTTCTGTCATTTCTACCTCTGCCATGCCTGCCCCAGTGGATGGGTTCAAGCTCACCTGGTGATTGGACAATCCCACACAATGATTACATATTTAGTTTGATATAAGGCCATTCTGGAACCCATAAATATGAAGAGGAGCTCCCCACCCACTAAAAGCACATACAGGGAGTGAGTTATGACAGAGGAGTTAGCAGGCTGGTTTCATTATTTAAACCAAGAAAAACATACCAGAGACAAGATGAAAGATCTAATAAAACTGGATTCTTATTTCTGATTCTAAAACT